AGATAAACTCCCAAACACACGACGGTTTACTCCCAGATTACTAATCTGTTATGGTCTTCTCAGGCGAAGTAAACTACATAAGCACGTACAGTGGAAAACTTCCAGCCGATTGATATTTTCTAGTGGAAAATTCAAGGTATCATAACCATAAGGTACAACTGAACGAACGGTAGCACAATAAACACGACCTTGCTACTTCAATGAAACGTCGCGTCTACGTCAAAATTGTTTCAATCCTGCGTACGTCGCTCGAGCCTTGGGACTTTGTGAAGCTGTTTACTTCGTTTCGCTACCGTCATGGGTCATGCAACTACCAACTACTTTTAAAAGCAATCTACCATAACTAATTCCTGGTCATCTAATTTCAAAATGGACTACTCGACACACAATCTTGCGCCATCAATTTGCACTCTGAAGGTGCCAAAGGCACACCAAGTTGAGTAACGGCACTTGTTAGTCTGTCAAGTGCTCTTTCGGCATCCTTTCTACATTCGAACAGAGCAACAAAATCGTCGGTATACTCTAAATCGCATAGCTTTTCCTCAGCTACCCATTTGATAGTAACGTTTTGGGGACCACTTACCACGCTCTCCATTACTTCGTCTGCGACGAAGTTTAATAGGAATGGCGAAATAGGGTACCATTGACGAACGCCGCTGCTGGTGAAAATCGATCTACTGAGTTCGTTACAAACCCTCACTCAGTCAAAAGTATGTGAGTGCAGTGACCTCATAAGATTAACGATCTTCTTTGGTATTCCTTTTCGAAGAAGCGAACCCATTCGACCTTGGCGGGTACCTCAGTAGAAAACTCCTTCTAGGTCAAGGAGCGCTGCAATAGTTGGTGGGTGTGATGCAGCGCGAGGACCCAACGCAACGTAAAATATGTTCTACTGTGTATTGTATTTCGTCGTGTACAGAACAATTTATACGAGAACTGAAAAGCTACGGAACACTGGATAGCTACTTCGTCCTAGTTGGATCTCATCCGAAGCAGTGTAAATTCACCCACTCAACGGAGGATCGAGTTCGGGACCTCACGCGAAGAACGTAAGCTTAATCTGTACTTAACAGTCGAGCAGCTGATCAGATACTGATATCAGGTGATAGCAACAAATCGCATGATCTGGATTAACACAGAAATTTCTATTTGTACCGATGCGGATTTTTTGTAACAACACCGAGTCATATTCGAATCAACTGGCAGCAGCAGCAGGTGTGTTACCCTACTTCTTATCGATGGCTCATCCACAAGTGCATGACTGCATGCATGTATGCCTACGTTTACGTAAAACGGAAGGCACGCGCATACACGTACGCACAGATGGNNCAGATGGAACATTGATTTTTGGTCCCACGAGTTGGCACCACTTTGGGACGTGAGGAAGGGATGGGTGGAGTGAATGAGCGCATTAGTGGGTGGTAAATGAATGATTGTGTCGAGCCGTCTAACCACGAACCATTACTGCGATTGCATGCGGATACACATACATTGTGCGTGTGTGTGTGTGTGTGCTGTGACGACAAGCGTGTCATGTTCTAGCAATCAGCAGTCCTCACCTCTACATACTCCAGAAACAAGGTGTTTTTCATGATGCAGTGTTGTTGTCCGGACTGTCGTGCACCGGACTAACAGATAGCGGGGATGGCGACAATCGGGAGCATAGCCCGGTTCCGGTTTTTAGATACTTATTTCAGGCGGTGAAGGTGAGCGAAAATACCTCCACCTTCCACACGCAATATTCAAATGTGTGCCAGACCGAGCTGGAATTCACATGTAGTGTGAAGACAGAAACCAAATCTGTCTGAAGCGATTTCTGACAAAATAATTGCGAAGACATACGGCAGAGATAATTTTTTACTGTAATAGTAACGCAATGATGAACGCTGGCCTATCGGACCCAACAGCAACCAGCCGAACACCAGAGGCAAGTGATTCGGAGAATCTACGAATCTGCTACACAATTCGCAGTCGTCAAGTTATGTGCCCCCCCACCTCATGGAGCCTTTTATGATCATGCTTATTGAGGTAGTTGGAGGTTAACAATGGAGGATTTCTTCGCAAGCAGTCAAGTTCGCACAATTAATTTTGCGCAAAGTGCAAAGTGCCTGGGTCGGGACTATCCTTGCCAAGATTGCGTCGACAATAACGGTAAACCACGATTCAGGTGCCGGCAAGCCCATACAAGGATCCGGTTGTGTACAGTTAACTGAAACATCTATGAAATTGATGTGTCATTTCCTTGAAGTAAGGAGGTCGAATACTGCCTGCAAAAAAAGTATTGCAGTTCCCTAGATTTTTGGATTAACTCTGCTCTCAAATGCACGATCATCATCATTTTTGGAGAATCTAGACGGCTATCGATTGAAATGCCGAAATACGCAATCTCATCAATTGTCTTCAACTATAATGAAAATATATCGAAAATAAAAACAGAATTCTCACCGCGAAAATATGATCACATCCCATGAACTTTACTCAATGAAGCCACTTTGTTAGTCTGAGGTTTAGAATCATTTCATTTATTTTTTTTATTTTCATCTTACTTCCTTTTATTGGGTATACAAAGATACAACTTTCAGGAGGAGAAAATTAGTAACCAGCATTCTTTTAGAGAAGAGTAATTGAAATACGGTAATATCATGCTGGAAAATGGCTTCAGAGGGTTTATAATTCGATACCACTGTTGGCATATAGGTGCCAATCAAATGTGCCAGTATATGCACCAGAATCTCACACCCCAGGTAGGACACTGAGTTATGTTGGACCGTTGTTTGATAAGTCACCCTGAACTGTCACGGAGTTCTGATTGCGAATCCGCTTACCACTCTCTTCCATAGAACATATTCGTGGTGGTGGTTCCATTCGTCCGGTCCACTTAAATTAAGCTTATTTTCATCGCTAATGTATACGAAGTTCCATTCGTTTATTCATGAGCTCCGGCTCACCAAAACAGGTTCTGTGCCTTCTTATTTTTTGCAGTTCATCCAAGGGACCGTTTCGAGTGTTCGTTATACCGCTTGCATGGAAGCGCCCAACTCAAGCACCGTGTTCATCTGCGATACATATCTCACAGAGTTTGAAGCCATACACAGCGATCTGCCTTTACCTTTCCGCGAAGGATAATTGTGAAGTACAATCTTTTTAGGACTGTTTTTTTTAGTTTCAAACACCGTGTCAATTTGCGATCGGCATCTATGGCACGGTCTCTTTGTCTTAGATTTGTTGATAATGTTTTCAGCAGAGTGATTCCGGATTTCAATTAAACCACCCCCATCGCACTAGGGCTAGTAATGTCTTTTTTTCAACAAGGTCATTGAGAGTAATATGAGCATAGGGCCACCCACACCAGTGTAGCGCATGACCGTGGCTTACAAGCTTGTCAATCACTGACAGCTTCTGTGCCCAAGTACGAACTGAGGATCTCTAAAGCACCCATTTTGAAGTCGAGTAAGACGTGTAAAGTCCACCGGGGGGTGGGGGAGTGCAGTACTTTTGTCGCAGTGACAATTCTGTTTTCCTCTCTTGATTTATTCTCGTCCAACTTAAAAATAATATGTTTTGTATTTCGGTATTTCAATCGGTGACCATCTAGACTAGCATTGGTCGTGATGATCATGCACGTGGGAGTGGATTTAACCCAAAAATTTAGGGGGCTGTACTTTTGTCGCGGGGTGTACATTGCTCTAATGCACGGTCATTTTTGTCTGAGCTGAGGTGTGGAGTACATCCATGGACTGGGAGTCGTCGAGTATCAATGTTGGCGTAGTGTGANGATCGAGCGGATAGGCAACACCGCATATTCCGGTGTGCATCGGTGGAAAATTCGTTGTCACATCGTATTAATATGATTAGTCTCAGTTGGATAGGGTAGCGAATTTTTGGCACTACCCACTGCAGAAAGAAGAGAATTACGTGGAGGTTAGCGGATGATGTGGAGACAGTGCATGCAACAATGCACAGAGTGATTAGGTCAAGCAGGTGTTTCCCGTCTTCCAGATTCAGATTCAAAAGACTCTATGGCCGATTATTTGGAAACACTGAAGGACAAGGCAGCGAACGGACCATAACAATGTTCTTGTTGGCATTTCCTATCCTACCGGAATGTTTAAAAAGATGTGCAGGCACAGTCACGCAATCGGATCTGTATTGACAGCAATGGTTCATTTCAATTCCCTCCCTTAAAAATGAACCCATTCACTCCACTTATTCGCACTTGATTTATATCGGTACGGCGCTTGGCCGCAGTTAGGAAAGTTCAGTGCATTGTATCGGGCCGTACAACGATGTTCATAGAAAGGTAGGTTTGTGTGTTTGTTTTCGGTGGAAAAAGTAATCACTAATTATTTATTCGCTGCCAGTCTTCCAAAACCATGAAGTCACTCACTTTGGATACCACAGTCTGAGGCACAATGGGAAATCGGATGACCAAGGTGGACACCTCAGAATTGATGGTTGACTGCTACAGTAACAAACTGTTAAATCCTTCAATTTAATGTCCAATCTTCTTTGACTGTTTGCGAACAAAACCGCCATTTCTTTTTCTCTATACAAAATAATGTTATATAAACTGTGACGTATTTGCCAATTGATGAGCTCTCGAAAATAGGCTTGTACGCTAAATTGCGTTTTCATTCATTGTGTGCTGTTGGTCTATTTCGGGAATTAAAACTGCCATTGTCAGTATAAGCGGCCCACGGAGGTATGATCATAAGAACCACCCTGAGTTTCTACCATTGTGCGACTAAGCTGGCAGAGAAATGTCTAACGAAATGAAAGTAGATCTATATGTTACACCACCGACGAGTGCCGGCAACTCTGTTAGCCAAATGCAATATAACATATTTCAGTCTAGTCATAATCGATTTGACGGAAAGGTAGCCAAAAATCCCGGTGATGACTGCATTGTTCGACAGAACTATTGTGGTTCAAACACCCCGGAATAACGTGAACAAGGTGAGAAAGCAAAACGAATGAGCACAAAACATACACGTGACAACCTACCCCAGAGTACAAGTGTTTGATGTCTCTTCAATATTCACCTCGGCGACGGGCACACCACGAGAAGCCAGTTCCGGTGCAAACCCGGCAGCTGGATAAACAACTGCGCTGGTTCCAACCACAAGACAAACATCCGCACTAGTCATGGCAATACGAACACGGCGTAATACATCCGGGTCCAACTGCTCACCGAACCACACAATATGGGGTCGGAGTAATCCACCGCATGCAGTCCCTTTCTTGGTCAACTCGGAACAATGCGGCAGACTCGCTTCCGGTATGTGTGGGTGAAGTTTGGGGTCGAACACTGGCGCACTTCAAAGGAATTCATGCGCAGAAAGAATAGGAAGAGAGAAACGTAACGGATAGAGCTGTAAACGACTGTGCACAGAACTTCTGTAATAACGTGCCATTTGTACTTCCAAAAACACAATTCACAGAACTATTTGGCGCCGGTTCCAGACAGCACCAACCAATCCCACCCGATGGTATAATTCGGTTCGAGGCACCATACCACGGTTCTCATTTACGGGATCGAAAGCATCCATCTCAATGCTGGGAATTTACAAGAGGGATTACTGAGGATCATTCAAGGTCCCCTTATGTGTCTGTAAAGGCCCGATCAATAGGTATGATAAACTAAAAGTTCACCCACATGGATGCACAAAGTTACTACTGATTTTGTGACTTGAAGAGCGCCACTTGAAGCTCCTCTTTTATCACCGGCACGAACAAAGACAGTGCTAATTGTCATTCATCACATTTGTCTACTCTTTGTTTTTAAGTAGTGAAACCAGACAAACAAAAGAGCAAGCAAACGCTGCTCCAACCTGAGTTATGAAAAGATCAAATTTATCTGGAGCTGGTTCCAAGGAAAAGCTGATAGCATCTAATGATTTGCGTTAAATCAACAATGCGTAGTTGATAATCAGCTCCTCTGACTATCAGGCACATTGAACTAGATCACGTTTACACGCCAATGCAACTCAAGGACCAAATGACGTAACAAAAACGGTCACGCCGTGACCCGAAAACGGATGGAAACCGTAATCAGGACGAAAAGACAACCTCCTCCTAGTCCACTCTAACCCCCTCGCACCAGCTTAACGGCGAATCAAGTTGAACATAGTGGGAACATAGGAAAAAAATAGTCGGTGGAGAAGAACACGTATATAAACGAAGGAGTACAAGCAGAACACTGCCACTTCACAAGCACTGATGATATCAACTCGGCTGGTGATGAAACGTTTGCAAACAAATTGCCAAGCTCGGTGAACAGGTGAAGTGGAATCAACTGCTCTGTCGAACTAACAGAGATGCATCCATACTTGGCTGTATTCACACTTATCGAATAGTCGGTGAGTTCCCAGTGAGAAATTGATCACCACGCATGAAAATACACTACTACAATTCGCACTCGGTAGTGGGGGGGGGTGTAAGTGAGACACTGGAGAATTCTCTTGTGGAAAAACCCTTATGAAACTTCACGGTCATGTTTCCGCCGGCTTATTCCTCTCTAAGGATCAAAATTAAATTAATTAAAGTAAGAGGAAGACGTATGTCGTCCTGATTTTACAGAAAGCTTAAAAAACAAAAACAAATGACAGTCGTATGTTACTGCGCACTCCGCATACATCAGAGTCTAGTTACATGCATGGTAGAGTTTATGTGCATTTTGAATTGACGATGCCATCGATGCGCAACTGGATGTGAAGAGTTACGTTTACATGTGGATAGAGATGGGCTTATGTTATAGCCTAGATCATGCATGCAGCTGTGACCAATACTTGGCCTTTCCGCGTTTGGTTGCTATGGTCCATTTGGAGTTGTGCAAATTACCCGGAACGACGCCCCTTGATGAGCATGGTAGCCAGTCAGCAACAGATAGCGAGCGAATGACGACGCAGGTGTTCTGCATGAACGTTTTGTCGAACTTGTTTGTGTAGCACCCAATATGATCCGTTCGCATTCGACCTAAACCGATATGTGGTCGGTCACTCGGTTTCGCAGCTGCCCGTTTGTTGTGTTCCGAACGCACATCGTAATTTGTAGATTGTGTGATTTGGTGGGCACAGAGTAGTGTTTTCAAGAAGGGCTTTAGAATCTGAGTTGTTGTGAAGCAAACGACCACATTTACAGCAAAAATGTGCAAACTTTTTGTGTGACGCATATATGACGGGGTAAACCCCGTAGTCGCGAAGACTTGCTTCCTGTGATGGAAACTGGCAACCTATGTCCTAGGACTTAGAGTGGTCAACCACCTAAGACCCCGCGAGTCGCCACCAGTCATCTTCATTTGAGTTGTCCCACATTGTTAGGGTTAGCACTGAGGCAATCAACTCATGGTGAATAGGATTAATTGTGGATAACGTACACCAGGCCCGTGATACTGAAGAGTATATTGGACCCTAAATAATGTCAAATTTTTCTAAATTTTTCGCTTTAATTTTACACATTAGCTCACTATATACTTTGCACACACTAGGCTGATTTCGGTCAAGAAATGATTGACCGGCTCCTAATAAATCTCGGTTTTCCCGGCAGTCCTTCTATCATGCGGGTCGACCTTTGGCTGGCCAAGGGCTCCGATTGTGAATTCCCCAAGAAAATTCTTTTCCATTGGCCTGAGCAAGCTGACAGTATCCGGAGCATTAGTAAATCATGAAAATTTCCCTTATTATAAAGACCATTATCATAGTTTGTTTGACACTCAGTCTGGACTCAGAGGCGTGCAAAACAGAATATAATAACAGGTCGAACCTCCTAAAGTGACCTTTGACAAAATACAGTGTGTCTCTTAATTTGACACTTGACGGACTAGAAAATTCTGTTACTCCGCTCGGTATGGACCTTGAACCTTCAAAGTGTAAAGTGATGCTGCAAGACTGGGTGTTGTCGAGTCCCATACTAAAACTAGACGATCAGGAATTAGCTGACGTTGGTTGCTTCTCGTAATTGGGTAGCTGCGTAACCGAAGTCGGTAGCGCTTCAAAGAAGATAATCGACCGCATTTCCAAGGCTCCAGTAGCGTGCGCAGGACTAAAACACCTGTGAAGAGAACATAACGTTTCACGGAAGTTGAAATGTGGCGGAAACCGCACTACTGTACGAACATTTCTGCATTACGGTGATGAGACCTTGAATCTGTAGATAGAAGACATCCATCTCTTAGAGATCCTTAACAATCGATGCTTACGTAGCATGGTCCAGGTGGGGCGGATTGAATGGGTTACTAACGTAGCTGTAAGTCATCGAGTGTTCGAGACCGCATAGAGCAAGAAATAAGTATGATATAAAATTCAGTACAATAGGCTCCACTGGTTAAGACACGTTTTAAGTATGTCTAACGGTCACCTACCGTACCGCGCCTTATTTGCAATGGCCGCTCCAGACTGGAGAAAACCACGTGGTTCTCAAAAAATGACGTGGAGATGAGACATGATGAAACTCACAGAGTCATCAGGTAGAGTAGGTGTCTCTCGTCTTTCGAATTGTATGGCATTCCTATTTCACACACGTCTGAATCCAGACTGTGTGCCAAACGAATAATGGTACAATAATCTTCGGGGCTGGTGTTCGAAAGACTCCATAACTGGATAGGTGGAGACACTGAAGGTCATGGCAGCAAAACGAAAGCAGTGGCGTTCTTGTCGTCACTTCTTATCGGACCAGAGCGTTTGAACTAGTGTGTATGCATTGTCGGACTGTATTATCTGTGTTAATCGCGGAGGTCCGGTTTCTTTCTCCGTCCCGCAAAATAGGCCCAATCCCTATCCTCCTTACACATTCTCAATTGACTTGTACGCATTATGTGATTGGCAGCTATCAGTTCACTTCAGTGTATTCTTATGTAGAATGAAGGTGATGACGACCACGGTTCATATGAGCTTCTTCTTGAAGCGCCTAGTACGGACACCAGACTTATGTCCAGCGACCTAAATGCATGAGTTGGCTGTTTGTCCTCCGATTAGGCTCATCTAGGTGATCTAGATGATCATTCCGATAATTCGGATGGGCTGCGTAGCATATTTTCAGAACAGCCTGCTTCTCGTTAATATGAATTTCCGACACCCAAAGCGTCACCTAGTTACTTGACGTAACCCTGGACAGCTGTACAAGTGAATTAAGATTGATTACATAACAAATAGCTATAAATGAAGAGGGTTTATGAGACTGATGTTTGTGCTGGTCTACCTGCTTGAACTCTGACCAGGCTGTCTATACGATTTGGTGGCTGCATAGAATAATGTACACAGTTGGACATTGAAAAGTTTTCCAAACCAGCCCTGCCAGTCGATCATTGAAACGAGTTGGACGCAGGGCCAATTACTGCCCAACCAAAAAATGTAGAAACAACATAGGACAACGCAATGCAGTCAGCGGGTTTACATAGTTGGGGCCTAAACCTCCAACCTTTAAGACAATCTTTAGTCCAAAACTCACTTCTTGATGCCCGTCGGGCAATCTACGTGAACAGCTAGTATTGAGAACGGCACCTATCTTTGAAGCGCGAACTCAAAAAGAGCTTAAGTGATGACCGAATATCTTAGTGGGTGCTACATGCAAAAATAGAATAAACAGCTGGTTGCAGAAAAAACACATACATGCTACTGGCCCCAAAACGCGGTAAGTTAGTGAACAATCTACGAAGTAGACAGGATGCCAATATACAGCCTACACCGATGCTTGGAACGCTGGGCACAGCACCTCACAGTCCAGTTCGACTAGGATTCCGTGCTGGTTACCCCAACAGTTCTCTTGAAAAGGCATCTTGGTCACCATACACGGCACAGCAGACGTCCGAAAACAGATTCAAGCCCTGAAATATCAAAGGGAGCCTGGATCAGATAACCTTCCGCCGACCCTCTTTACTGTTAATGAAGAAGGTCTCGTGAGAAAGCTTGCCTGCCTGTTTTCCAATATCTAGGAGGGTGAAACTGTCATTGAAAGAATCGACTGTTACGCCTAGTTACAATCTTTGTTCCAATGCCGGGATATGATTCTGATTCTAATAGAGCTGAAACCGTAATTGAGTCTGATTTATACTAGATTTATACATGAAGAGGGGGTTGTGTTGCAATAATGTGGTGGTTGAATAGATCTTCGCCCTAAATTAGCCACTGAAACCTCGCCACACAGTGGTGTGTTTGGACATCAGAGAGGTCTTCGATTTTAGCGATTGCCCACCCTGTGGACTTGTTTTGTGAGATACGGAGTACCGGAGAAGTGTTTACTGCTTCTAAAACCACCGCTGTTAAACCTCGAGGAAGGCTATGGCCAATGGTGAAACTGATCTCTCTTGTCACCAGTGGGGTACTACGGGGTTGCCATATTTCCGTTTCTCTTCGACGGTACCACAGGTGATGCCCTTTGAAAGGCTTGAGATTACGAACTCTGACTCGTTGAACCTTCCTGGAGACCGAATCCTGGACTTGAAGCACGCCGATAATATCATCTTACTCGGTGACAACAGACCAGCGATTTAATCGCTTGGCAACTGAGGTTGCTCGGTATGGTATGAGATCTGCCTCTTCCAAAGGTGCTTGTC